ACAGCGTCCGACGCTGGCAGCGAGGGCTACTCTCCATCCCAGAGTCCCGAAGACGGCTTCTAACCCTCCCACTTTCTCTCCAGCCTTCCCACACAAGCGGCGCCTTCTGCCAGATTCTCTGCTAGGAGCCCAGGGAGACTGCTGTGCCCGGGTGGCTCTGTCCCCATACTGAGCTTTCACACTTCCTCCGGGGCAGCAGCACCTGTGTGCTCATCCAGGCTGTGTCTGTCCCAAAGCTTAGGCCTCCCAGTCCTTCGCTGCCTGGTGCACGGTTGCAATCCCAACACTTGAGAGGCCGAGGCAGGAGGATCACTGCAAGTTCAAAGCCCGGACTACACAGTGAGACCTTGTCTTAAAAAAATAAAACAAAAATGTATTACAATAATTTCTCTACTCTCTTTAAAATAAAAAAAAAAACTAAAAAAAAATTTCTTAAGAAAACAGTAACGAGTCAGAAAAAAAAAAAAAAAAAAAGAAAGCCAATGGCAGTACTATAACCCACGGCAACCGCGGCCAGCACTGACCCTTGCTCTGTCCCCACCCCATGGTGCAGGAAGCCGACTTCCGGCGCTGTACCTGCACTGCGCATGTGCGGAAGCCCCGTACAGTCAGCATCCCCGTGGGCAGCGTCCCGGTGCCTTTCCTAGCTGCAGCCCTGTGTCCGCCAGGGTGCGGGTGCAGCTGGCAGGCTGTTGCGCGGGTGTGTGCGTGTGTGTGTGTCTGTGCCGCCCACGGCGGGGAGGGGGCTCCTGGCCCATAGTGAGGCAGTGGACACTGCTGCTGGAACATGAAAGAAAAGCGTTTGCCCGAAGGATGAACAGTCCTAACACTCCGCGTGTGTGTGGGCGGGTACTGGGGGGCTTACTGAACCCACGCCTTCAAACTGAGCTACAGTTCCAGGCCCTTTATAAAAAATTTATTTTGCCGGGTATGGTGGCGCAAACCTATAATCACAGCACTCGGGAAGCTGAGGCGGGAGGATCACTGAGAATTCAAGACCAGCCTGGGCTAAACAGTGAGTTCAAGGCCAGCCTGAACTGCAGAGCAAGACCCTGTCTCAAAAAACAAACAAAATGCAGTCTGTATATGCAAAGTAGGTAAGGAAATTCAGTCTTTTTGTTTTAAAAAATCCATTACTTCTAAAGGATCATTCTACAAAATCAGAAGTAAAGAATTGAAAGGCCGAGAAGGAGAGGGAAGAGGGGAAAAGGAGAGAGGGAGGGAGAGGGAAGAGAGGGAGTGAGGGAGACAGGGAGGGGGAGGGAGGGAATGCACAATATCAACACGAAAAGAAGTAAAATTGCCGGCACACAAAAGGTGCCGCACACCTGTAATCCCAGCACTTGGGAGGCTGAGGCAGGAGGATCGCTGTGAGTTCGAGACCAGCCTGGGTTACAAAGTGAGCTCAAGTCCAGCCTGAACTGCATAGCGAGACCCTGTCTTAAAAAGACCAGGAAAAAAAAAAAGAAGTAAAATTGTACAAACTTAAGCAGTTTCTCACTGGTGGGGATCCGACTCCAAGACCCAGAAGGGCAGCTGAGGACATTCACTCTGCAGAAGCTGCTTCCCTGCCTTGAACGAGCCCCTTTGGCTCTGCCTTTTGCACTGGCCAGCGTTCCTCGTCCAGTAAGGGCTCTGCTGCCCCCGCCCAGCCCAGCTCGAGGGCCTCCAGGTCCCCGCAGGCGGTCACCTCCACGGTCCCTTTCCCTGGTGGCCCGAGTCCTCTCTTGCACACTCAGATGGAAGTTGCCTCTGAGCATGATGGGCCTGTCGCTGAGGACCTGCGCAGGCTCAGAAAACCCAGACTGGGTAATTTCCTCCCACTGTTGATGCATACTTTTTTTTTTTTTTTTTTTTTGAGTCAGGGTCTCACCTTGTTATTCAGGCTGGTCTTTAACTCCCTGTGTAGCCCAGGCTGGCCTCGAACTCTCATCGAGCCTCCTGAGTGCTGGTGTTACAGACGTGCACCCGGCTGATTCTCATCATTTTGTGTTTTTTTTTTTTTTTTCTTTGTCTTTTTGAGACAGGGTCTCACTATGCAGTTCAGGCTGGCCTTGAGCTCACTTTGTAGCCCTGGCTGGTCTCGAACTTGCAATGATCCTCCTGCCTCAGCCTCCCGAGTGCTGGGATTACAGGTGTGTCACCACTCCTGGCGATTCCCATCACTTTGAAAGAAATCTTTAAATTCTGATTTGTCCACCGCATGAGGCAGGTCGCAGATGAAGACTGGTGGCTGTCCGAGGTCCCACAGTTCTTCGGGGTCAGCATCACCTCGCTCCCCAGCATCATGGGCTGGTCTGGGAATATTCAGTTATTCACTGGAATTATCTTCGCACTGTGGCTCACTCTCATCCCTCTGGGGCCTCTGTGGTCCAATCTGAGATTCAGGCTTGGACGCTGGACGGGCTGTGGCCCCGGTCCTTTCACAGCGTGAGGCGCCCCAGTGACAGGAACAGCTGCACTGGGAGGAGGCGTCTTCCTGGTCACAGATGCCCAAGAAAATGTGCTCAGGTCTGTGTGGTGCGGGAGAGCTCTTTGCAGCGCCCTCAGGAGCAGCTTCTTTCGGGCTGACTTTCCCTCCTGGATTTCAGGTGCAGGTTCTTGCTCTGCTTCAGCTGCGGGTTCCTCTGAACGTTCTTCCAGGTCAGTGCTGACAGTCTGACCATAGAAAGTTCCAGAACCATCAGGAGCAACTGAGGTGCCTGCTGTCTTTCTTCGGGCTCCTCTACTTCTCCCTCACGTCCCTCCTGCGGTGCTCACAAAGCCGCCAAAGACCTCCTCTTGGAATCTGAAGGTACCGTCCGGAACACAGAAGTTCCTTGTGACAGAGCGCTCAGGAGCGAGGAGGAACGTCTCCAGACCCCGCGTGGCTGCCGCTAGCCAGCCATCAGGTTACCAGGCGCGCGCACCGTCCCTCAGGGCGCACGCGGCCCCGAGCTGGATCTTGGCGTGGCAGCTGGTGACGTTTGGTGACCTCACTTCCCCGTGAACTTCTTTCTGTCCTTGGGCTGCACCCGCAGGTCTTCCGTTTGAGCCCAGTCCCCGCGGACACAGGACGAGGTCTTTCCACACAGTCGGAGCAGCGCCGCGGGGCTGGTGTGGCAGCGCATGCCGCTGTCTCATGGGTTCCCGCCCGGCCGTCAGGCCCAGGCTTCTGCAGAACCACGGCTTTGATCAGTCCACCCGCTTGGGTCCGGCTGCCCAGCGCACGGCCCGGGCTCTGGAGAGGGCCGGCCGCTGCCCAGCCCCCCTGCAAAGCCGCCCGCTGCGCCCTCCCTTCCGCTAAAGCCGGGAGCGGGGCTTCTGCTTCCGGCCAGCGCACGGCGCCGCCGCCGCCTCCGGGCCCTCCCCCCCCCCTCCGCCACTTCCGGTGCTCTGGGGGTTGCTGGCTCCCCCGGGCTCGTCCGTCCAGGAGTGGAAACAGCCCCCAGCCCCGGCGACTCTGCCTCCTGTGCAGTCACTTTAGCTCGCCCACCACAGGCCGAGGAGCCGCACCGCTCTCCCGCAGGACGGGCGTCCGGGTAGAGGCCAGGAGTGAGCTTCGGTGTGCGCACCCGAGTGGACCTGCCAGTCTTAGCAGTGAGCCGCGCTTGCACAGGCGCGCGGCTTTCACCTGGGCAGACCTGCAGTGGCGCTTAACACCGTGCTCATTTTTGCCCTCTTTGCCCCTCAGCTTCAGAGCTTTTGGGGGGCCTGAAGTGTGTATTTCGATCTTACCCCCTTTGCCCCCACGCCAACAACCTCTGCGCGCCTTTGCCCTTCTTGTCTAAGGACCTCTGCTTCCTTCGCATCGTCCGCCCTTCCCGCGTGGCCGGGAGGGCGCCTCGCGTCTGTCTTGCCGCGTCTCACTCCTTGGGCTCAACACAGTGACCTCCGCTCCCCCGCCTGGCTGCAGTGCCGAAGGTGTGTTCTTTGGCATGGCCGCGTAGTACTCTGCTGTGTTCGGAGACATTTTAATTCCAGCTGCCTGCTGACAGGCACGTGGCCTGGTCCCATAGGGTGGCTCCTGCGAACTGTGCCACAGTCAGTAGGGGCCGCGGAATCCCCATAGCCAGCTGACTTGACTTCCTTTTGTTGTAGGCAGCTGAGTTAGACAGGAATGTTACAGGCGGGCAGACGGGGCCAGGCCCTGAGGGAGCCAGTGCAGAACATGGGATACCTTGCCCTGGGGGGGTACAGACACCTCCAGCTGTGGACAAAAGATTAAACAGACGCACGCACGTAGTTCCTAGCGATGGACCTCAGGGACTGATACTCTAAATAGGTAGCCGTCACCTTGAAAAGGCCAGGAAGAGTTCCTGGCCCAGCCCCTACAGGAAAGTTCCCTGTTCTGTATTCATGTCCGCTGGCTACGTGACTCGCTTCCCCACTGGGTCCCCACTTAATCAATTTTACCTGAACAATTATGCTTGTAATCTTCTTGGCTGCCCATCTAGCGAGTTCCCACGTTTTCCATCTTGGGCCCGCCTCACCTTGTGGTTTTGCCCTATGAACATCCCTAGAGAAGACAGGCTCCTGGCAACCCACTCGGGCCCCTTCTGTCCCTGTCTCGGACAGAAGCTTTCTTCCCTCAATAAACATATGCTGCTCTTAACCTCCGTTGTTCCTAAAATCCATTCTGCGATTTTAGAGAACACGAACTCGCCCCAGATATCGTTCAGGTTGGGAGTTTCTATTCCCTGTATCACTTTGTGCGTAGGCCAAGGCGTGGTACAGCCAGATCCAGTGGTGGCTCTGTGCGCCGCGTGCGAGGTGCTTGCAGGCTGATCCACAGCGGCTGCTCTGATTTCCGTACTGCAGTGCAGAAGGTTCCTTTGTCCCACATCCTCACCAGCATTTACTTGTTTATTTACTTAAGCATTTTTTTTTTTTTTTTTTTTTTTTTTTTTTGTTTTTTTTGTGGTACGGGGGATCGAACTCAGGACCTTGTACTTGCCAAGCAGGTACCTGTGCCACTGAGCTATATGCCCAGCCCTTGTTTATTTACTTACTTACTCTCTAAGTTGCCCAAGCCTGGCTTGAATTTGGGAGCCTCCTGTCTCGGCCTCCCAGAGTGCTGGGATGACAGGCTGCACTGTATCCCAGGGGGGCTGGCGGGGGGCATGCACGGGAAGCGGGCATGCTGAGAAATGCTCCTGGATGGTGACTGCCAGTGCCACCGTCTGCCACGCTGACAGCCTTGCAGCAGAACTGATGCCCTTTGGCTTTAACATCTGGGTGTTTGTCCTGTGACTCTAAGTCGAGTGACTCTAAGTGACAAGAGGGCCCTGGTCTTCCGCCAGGGCAGGTGGGGCAGTGGGGAGGGCCTGGGCTCCTGCCATCCAGGCACCTGCTGTCCCTGCATGGGCCAAGGGAGGGGCTGGCGGCCTTGGCCTGAGGGGCAGCTGCTGTCTGGCCACACTGTCACCGTCCCGTGGAGAGCCGTCTCGCCGCAGCATGGCATTTCCTTTCCCTCCTCTGGGGCAAAGCAGCACTTCTGAAACGGAAGAAAAGGGACTGAAAAGCAGAACCGGAGAGCTGAGGGTTCAGCCCCTAACAATGTCGGCCGGCGACAGTGAAGCTGCCCGTTAGCTCACAGCCCTGTCAGTGGTGGCGCTGACGGAACTTGGCAGCTGCCTCCACCCCGCTCGGCCCGGCCAGCTGAGCAGTGGGACGGCGGGCAGAGAGCTGGCATGGCCCTCTGTCCTGCAGGGACCCCGGGCACACAGCCTCGCACCCTCCTGGCCAGGACAGGCCGGGGAACACCTCTGGGGTCAGTGGATGACTTCCCACAGGTGTCAGCCTGGGTCTCTTCTGCAAAGCTACCACGAGAGCCCCAGTGACTGTGCCGGCCCTGGCCTAGGCCTGCCCCGGGGTCATCAGCCCCTGTCCTGTTCATCCTTGGGTCCCACAAGTCCACTTGTTTCAGCCGGTGGTCTTGGAGAGCCCCTTACCCAGCCTGCTGCTGTGCTCCGGACACTGGGGCCGTCCTCCTGCTCTGCACTGACATCCCATCATTGCTGGGGTCTGGCTTCTGAGCCAGTCCCGGCTCCTTTCTGGGCAGATGTGCTGGGAGTCACTGACTGGCATCCTCAACTATTTTTTGGAGGTAAGGGAATCGAACTCAGGTCCTCACACTTGCTATATCCCTGGCTCTTTGACCTTTTTTTGAGACAGGGTTTCACTCAGTAGTTCAGGCTGGGCTTGAACTCACTATGTAGCCCAGGCTGGCCTGGAAGTCACAAAGATCCTCCTGCCTCAGCTTCCCGAGTGCTGGGATCACAGGTGTGCGCCACCCTGCCCATAGCACCCCTCCTCGTGTCTTGTCCAGGCACTGCTGGGGCTGGGGACAGACAAGGCTGACCTGCCCTGCTGAGACGGAGCAGGTGAGTGAATCAATCAAGGACACAAAGAAGTGCCATCATGGCGTGTGCCTCAAAACAGCCTGAGCACAGGACAGGAAGACATCTGTGAATGAGCAGGTGGCCCGGAAGGCTCAGGAGGGGCTGAGAGCACGGGGCTGGGGGCATGTGGGCAGAGGCAGAGGCTATGGTGGCGCTGGGCGGAGGGGACTGGGCCTGATAATCAGGGGACAGAAGGAGGGGAAGGCAGTGCAGGCTGGGGAGGGGTTTGGCCCTGCGGTGCGTGGCCCGGGCTTGGGTCCTCAATTCCGGTCCTCTGCAGCTGGCAACATCGGCCCGAAAACAATGTGGAGAATCTCCGGCCAGGCCCAGGACAGCTTCTATTTATAAGCAGAGGGGTTGAACAATGCAGCAACTGCTGCCTGGGAGATTGGAAGCCTCAAAGGCCCCAGCCCAGAGGAAGGGTGGTGACAGCTGCAGGCACAGAGCCAGCTGCTACTGCAGGGCCTGGGGGCCACACCTGCGTCCCCTGCCCTCAGGAGCCCAGTCCAGCTCCGGGTCACAAATGTAAACAAGGGGGCTGTGGATACAGCTCGGTGGCATAGGGCCTGCCTGGCAAGCAGGGGATCGTGAGTTTGATTCTCAGTACCAGAAAAACAAAAAGACAAATGCAAACAAGGCCGGAAGCTGTGGCTGGACCAGCAGGGTCTCTGCCATGAGCGGTCCAAGGCTGGCTCCTGCCTCTGGGGCGGGGCGGGGCTCAGCAGTGTCCTCAGCACTCCAGGAGCTGGTTTCTGGAGGCACAGGAGTCCGAGGGCCGCAGGGTAAGCAAGCCAGTCCTAACAGGAAGAGGAGGGCAGAGGCCCGACCACCAGCCCCTTTGGGCGACTCTTGGCCTCATGTGAAAGAGAGGGTTGTACGTACTCAGACGAAGAGGAGGACCACGTGTCAGACGTGCAGCTTGCGGAACTGCGATGTTCGGTCCGGCAGCGAGGACCAGGAGGCCCTTCCAGGAGCAGCTCAGGCCCGGAGCAAACAGGTTCCGGAGTAAAAGCATTGGGGAAATGGCATCTCACTGACTCACAAAGCCTGTATGTCTTACAGGCCCCGCACCAGCCCTGAAGATCTGTATAATCAGATCCCAGCCAGTCTTTTCCCAGGCGTGTCCCAGCATGGAGCCCTTCCCGCCGGGCTGGATACTGGCTTCCGATAGGAAACAGGGAGAGGCCAAGGGAGGACAGCCCCACATCCGCCCTGTGCTGTCTCGGAGCAAGGCCTGGGGCAGAGCCCCGAGCTGGGCCTGCCTGAGTCACGAGAATGCTAACGTGATGGGCACAGGCCAGAGCTCTGCCCAGAGGGTAGAGTTGGGGCCCAGCGGGCTGGTGCAGGAGGGAGGAGAGACTGAGGGTGACCCGGGCTGGGCTGTCCGCCGTCGTGCACGGAGCTGTCCCCGACGGAGGCCAGGAAGTGGGGGCATCAGGCTGTGGCAGGCAGAACGGCGCGGCTGGCATCTCCCCATCTGCTGGGGGGCTTCACGAGGGGCTCAGAAGGAAGGGGACTTGGCCCAGTCGTGCTTTCAACGTTTGTGTTGCTTGGTTGTTTGCTTACATTTAAGCTCTTTTCAGAGATTTCAGGAAGGCCCCTGCCCGAGTAGCTTCTGCCCTTTAGACGCCACTCCCTGGGACAGGGCATTTACAGTGGCCTGTGACCATCTGCCCACCCCTCCACCAGGGCTGCCCCCGCCTGGCGCTGTGGTCCTGTGGGGCTGCTGACTGTGCTGGGGGCGGGACCTGAGGCTACTGAGCCCCAAATTGAGCCACGCAGGTGTCTAGATCTGTGTCACGGAAGAGGCGGTCCTTGGGACACCGTGAGGCCACAGTCAGGCGCAGAGCTGGGTGGCGCAGCCCCAGGCCCGCGGCCTCTGCAGTCTGCAGACCTGACCCAGAAACTTCCCCGGGGATTGCAAAGAAAGCAAGCCGAGGGTGAGGCCAGCACACGCCGGGATGGGGCAGCAGCGTGGGCACTGCCAGGTAGCGCTACCTCCATCAACATGGGTCAAGGAGACTCGCGTCACCTCCCCCTGGGAAAGCAACCTGTGGCCTCTCCCACTATGTTGCCACTGGGGGGCATCAGTCCTGGACGTGTGACACATCTAGAAGAGCCGCACATCCCCCGCCCGGCTCCTCCGCCTTCCCCGGCTCCAGACATCAGAACAGCGAGCCTGGGGCCTGGCCAAGGCCACGTGCTGGCCCAGGAGGGGTCAGGCTCCCTGCCCTCGTCCCTGGGCAGCAGGGCCCCGGTGGCCTCCTAGCCCCACATCCTGGCAGTGTGGGTTCAGGGTGCTGAGCTGACCCCTGCCATCGAGCAGTGGGGCTGAGGCCAGCAAAGGGATGTGGAGGGGCCGACGGGACAGCTGACAGCGCGTGGCAGGTGTTATCTGCGAGCACAGCCGCTACGGAGATCTTGCAGAGCTGTCCCATGCCGCCTCGGCGGGGCACTCAGGCAGAGTACTCCAGGCTTCTATTTATAAAAGGCGTCTGTCGGGGAGCAAAGGGGTACCGGGCCTCGGGTGGGTGCTGGAGGCTCCCTGCACACCCCAGGCCCCCGAACTGAGTCAAACCCAGCAAGACTGGGGTCCCTTGTCTCAAGACAGCCCCTGTCCTAGGTTCAGGGCTGAGGGGACGCTGTGAGCAAGGGTGACAGGCTTCCCCCGAAGGACCACAAAGGACACTAAGTTTCTGAGGTCCCCAGCTCCTCGAGCGGCTGGGCCCTTCGTCAATGCCAAGTGCAGATAAGCCCCCCTTTGGTCACATGTCACAGCAGGGCACATGTGACGCCTCCCTTGGGACACCAGGGATGGATCTCCAGGTCCTGGCGCTGCTGACAGCAGCTCGGGAAGGGGTCGCTGGAACCCAGTGTTGGGGGCCGAGGCCCCTGGTGTCAGCACGAGACTGCGGGACACCCCAGCTGGTATCCGGTCCAGTGCTACCCTGGTGAATGAGCCCCGGGGAGGCGGGTGGCAGGTCTGGATTTTATGAGGAGGTCCCAGGGCAGGACGGCGACCTCTGAGAGGCTGTGGTACAGGGAGCCGCATGGTGTCTCTGGCCTCCAAGCCAGCTGAACCACCACAGGATAAACTGCCGCACCGCTATTAGAACAGGAAACACGCAACTTTCCAAGACGGGAATCTCTAAATCACGGTCCCTTTCCCGGCCTTCCCTGCAACGGCCCAGGCCAAAGCATGGCCCTATTCCGGGCTGGATGGTAACAGATTCTGACGCCCACTGCCTGTCTGCCAGCAACTCCTAGACTCTCATCGGCCTAGGAATAAAACACTGCGGGCTTGAAAGAAAGAAGAACTTTAATACAACTGCAAGCAGGCTCTCAAGGCCGTGGGGGTGAACCCTGTCGCCAACCGTTCTGCCATGGGATCTGCTACAGCAGGGTCCCGGACCGCCCCGCGGCCACCTGCACTGTGGTCACAGGTGCTTGGGCTAGGTGTGGCTCCTAAGGGCGGCCAGCACACGGCGGCTATGGAGCGGTCTACACCGCCGCCTCCTCCCAGGCTGGGGGACGCACAGGAGCCACGGCAAGAGCAGGCGGCGGCAGTGAGGAGGCTGCGTGCGTCTGCGGCCCTCCGCCGACGCGCTCTGACGGCACTGCCGCCACCGGAGCCTCTGTGACACTGTCGAGGCCTTGCCCACACGGAGTGGCCCCGAGGGTCCTAACGCACAGGGCCGAGGTTGCGTGCGAGGAGACAGAAGCCAGGCCTCGGCCTCCATGTGGTCTTCCCGGGTCCCCAGCACAGGGATGGGAGCCCCGCTCCACAAGCTGAACAAACCCGCAGATGCCCAGGACGGAACAGAGCGACAGTTTAATAGCAGGGAAACCAAACGAAACACAAGACGAGATGGTGCGTGTGGCCTGGCAGCTCTGGTTTTGGCCTCTGCTGTCTCCTCCCAGGGGTGTGCTTTGGTGACAAAGCCCACTGACACCCACTCCTGTGTCCCCAGGTGAGAGGACGGCGAGCACAGTCGGTTGCCGGAACTGAAGGGACCATGAGGCCAGCTCAGCTTCTCCAGCCCCCGAAGCCCTGGACAGACCTGTGAGGAAGCAGAGCCAGCTCAGCTCCCGCACCCCATGGGGTGGGAGGGCTTTGGGGACCCTGGATCCTGAGGCTGCAGAGCCTGGGAGGAGGGGGTTACTGGGGGAGACGAGGAGGAACCCCTGTGTTGGCTTTTGGGGGAGCCCTGTCCTTCACACCATTGCCCGGTACGTCCTGCTGTGTCCCCAAGCCCAACACCAGCTGCAGAGCTTCTAGGACAAACTTGTGCAATCGGAAAAATGGGAGCAAGAACGGTCCTTTGCCCACCCCGCCCCACCCGCCCCGCCCCTCGGGGCCGGGTTTAGTGTTTCTAGTCCAGGTCAGCGGGAGCAGCTACTTACGAGTTGGAGGATCCAAAGCTGAATCCTGGAAAACACAAGGGAAAGGTCAACTCAAAGCACAGGCCTGGAAGACGGGTTCCCAACCAGGTCCTCCGCCCAGCCCCCACAGCTCCTGTGTGCCATGGCTGTGGGTGTGGGAGCTGCTCCTGCACTCTTCAAGGGGCAACTGTGCATTGTCCTGGGGCTCGGGGCTCCCACCCTGCTGTGGCAGAGGCTCCGGCCCGGGCCCTCCCAGGCTGCTCAGAAGCCCCAGAGCCCCTTCGCTGGGGAACCCTGCCCCGGCCCTGCTTCTATGGGTGGAGAAGCAAGACCTGGGCGTGGGATTCCCAGACCTGGCTCTGCCTCTAGCACCATAACCGTGCTAAGCTCTGCGCTTGCGGCAAGGCCCGAATGGAACAGACTCTGCCCCTGGAAGCAGCAGAGCGCTACACACACCAGATGCCGCCGACGGTTCTGTACAGTCCCAGTCTGGCTGGGTTGGCTTTATTTCTTAGAGCTTTTAAATGCCAATAAAAAACCAAGCCAGTGGTTCTGCATGTGGTCAGAAAGGGCACAATGTTGCAGGTCTAATTAAAATCTAAGAACATTTTACCCCCAGGTTTTGGAACACTTAGCTGATGGTCAGTGGGCTCTCTCTTTTGGAGGCGCTGGCTTGCACTGAGGAAGGGGCAGGGAGCACCGTGCGCGTGCGCGACCGCCTACCTCCTGTGTTGGATCCAAAACCAGAGAATCCGCTGCTCTGGGTCCCAAAGCCGGAGGTCTGCTGGGATAGGGACCCAAAAGTAGGTGCGTTCTGACTGGCAAGGGTGCCGAAGGACGTGGTGTTGCTACCGCTCCCGAACCTGAGTTCCAAGTAGAGAGGGACCATGATTAGGTGGCCTCTACATGCTAAGGGACTACGGCTGGGTGGCTTCTGGCCTGCAAGCCTCGTCCACTGTCACCAGTCTGGACTGCATGGCGCTCACGATTTAAGGGGCCAGAAACAAGGGGCCCTGCCCTGTGCAAACCTTTACCTGGGCTGCAGGAGGGACATCACAAGGATGCGGCACTAACGCTACCCTGGTCAGGCCTGAGCTTCTGTCCACCCCTGGAGACTGCGGCTCACGGGCCAAGCGGCCCCACACTTCCTGCTACCTCTACCTCCACAGTCAGCCCTCAGCGCTGGCCAGCACGAGTACCCCCTCCACCGAGTGCCCCTCCCTGTCTGTCTGCAGCTCCTCTCTGGATCCTGGGTCTTTCTTCTTGTCTGTCTGAGAGACAGGGTCTTACTACGTTGCCCATGCTGGCCTCAAAGTCCTGGGTTCAAGAGCTCCTCCTGCTTCAGCCTCCCAAGTGGCCGGGACTATAGGCAAACACTGGTATGTCTGATGAGTCTATGTCCTTTCAACGATGAGGCAAGGAGTCTTGCACACAGTACAGCCAGGCTGGCTCCCTCTGCTCTCCAGGGGTCCTGTTCACCCCAAGTCCTGCTGACTCGTCAGGATCCATGGGGACAGCTACCCAGGCAGACCGCTTTCTGGTAGTAAGGAAAACAGCCTGTTTCAACTACCTACCTACCCACTCACCCACCTACCTACCTACCTACCTAGCACACCCAAGATTTGTAGCCAACCGAGCCCTGCCCCTCTAGCTCTGCCCAGCCCTGGAGAGCCGTCGTCTCCGAACAAGGGCCTCTGCACCGTCGCATGTGCACGCTGTGGGTCTCTGTGTGCGGGAAAGGCGCTGTTTTCCTTTCGTCAGCAGGCAGAAACCTTCGCGGCCAGGCTGTGCCCGGAGGGCCCTTGGGCCGGACCGCCTGTGCTCTAGCGGTGGAAGGGGGACACAGGTACGTGCGCAGGGAGCTTGGGGCTCTGGTCCCCTGCCCCGGGGGCTTACCCGAATCCTCCTGCGCTGGCAGCCGCGGTGCCCTCTCCGAACACTTTGCCTCCCGTCGAGCCCAGAGGGCTTGTAAAGGCTGGGGCTGAACCGAATGCTGGCACCCCTCCAAACCCAGGGGATCCCCCAAAAGTAGGAGGGCTGCCAAACACTGGAGCAGCACCGAAGCCACCTGAGCAAAACAGAGGCAAACAAACAGAAATGGGGAGAAAGGAAGGAGGAGACAGGAGAGACATGAGCAGCGAGAAACCAAATCAGAAGAGGGAGAAAAGGGAAAACACAGTGTTAGAGATCCACACCCGGCTCCAGCCAAGGCTGCACCGCTGCTGTCAGAGAGATGCGCAGAGGCACAAGCCACCCCCAGACCTGGCCGCCTGGCCCGCAGCACCCCAGGGCCGGGGGCTCCCCAGGGCTTCCAGAAGCCGCGCTCAGCAGCCCCCACTGTCTCCCATGTGTTATCATCAATCCCCACTCGGCCAGGCTTCGAGCTTCGTGGAACCTGAGTCACAAAACTTGAGGCTCCCAGCCCCTCTGGGGAGGCCGGGTCATAGGAGGGCCGGCGAGGAGCGCAGGCACCCGGCCAGGGCCGTTTACTTACTCACAGCCTCAGGGGTGCACGGCCCACACCAGCGCCCCTGTGTGTGTGCAGAGCCCTGTTGTAAGGCCAACTCTGCGCAGCCTGGGAGCAGCCCCCACTGCGGGGTAGGCAGCGTGCCGGCCGCTCCTGCGGAGGAGGAGACCCAGTAACTCCGCATCAGCCACAAGGTGGCCTGAGCGCCCGCCCCTCCAGCCACTGCAGGCTGCGGGGACCGGGGGAAGGAGTGAGGCCCCTCGGCTGGCGGGGAGAGGGTGCTCCGAGCTGCTCCTTCCTCTAAGAGGCTTACAGTAACCCGCAGGGCAGGAGTGCACATGACAGGGCACGGGGACCGCGCTGGCACTGCATGAGGCGCACCTGTTAAGACGAGTGCTGGCCCGTGAACTACATGCTGAAGGGTGTCATAGTGGCCCAGTGACCCCAAGGACACCATCAGCCTGAGCAGGCAGTGACACCACGCTCTCCTCTTTCAGAAACAGAATCTGTTGTCAGAGGGACCCATCTGCCTTCAGACCAGGAGCCTCAAACCACACCACACCACAGGCTTCTCCCGGACAGGGACACCGCGGACGGCGCGGAAAGTTCCCCTGTGATTCAATCGCCTGTGCAGGTAGCGTTAATAGCGCTCGCACCCCTGAGGCTCACATTTGGGTTAAACACTGCCCTCTAACACCGTGAGTGAAATTCCGAGCCACGGTAACGGAGCCCAGGGGATCACAAATGTAACAGGCTGGAAAGAAAGTGCTAAACCCCCCGCAGTTGAATTATTGAACACTGAGCGCAGCTCCCATTACGCTTTCTTCCTAGAGTCGCAGCGCTTTATCTAGTCCTTGCACTCAATATTGTTTGGGCTTCTTGGTGGAAGGGGCTGAAAACTGAGAAGTCGCAATGATACAGCGTAAACCGAGCAAGAGAGGGGAGGACAGCGCAGCCACGTGTGTGCACAGAAAATGCCCGGAGCCACACCGCTGCATGGCAGACAGGCGGGCGGGCGGCTCGGGGCAGAGCAGCCGTCCCGCTTGCAGATGGGGACACCGCTTGCTCCTAATGCCAAGAAGAGTTCAGTTTTATGAGCTGATCAGGTTTTAGGATTTTTTTGGTCTTTTTGAGACAGGGTCTCACTATGCAGTTCAGGCTGACCTTGAGCTCACTTTGTAGCCCAGGCTGGTCTCGAACTCACACCGATCCTCCTGCCTCAGCCTCCCGAGTGCTGGGATTACAGGCATGCGCCACCACGCCTGGCTTAGTTTTATGATTTTTCTTCTGCAGAAGAAAGAGAAATTTACCAGTAGTCAGCAATGATAACTTTTTTATTTTTTTGGGTTTCTGAGATGGGGTCTAGTCCAGGCTGGCCTTGAACTTGCTGCAATCCTCCTGCTTCAGTCTCCTGACAGCTGGGATTACAGGGTGCACTTCCATCGCCAGCTCACTCTGCCTGAGGAGGGTGTGTGCCCCTCCAGCAGTTCCCTCTAATCCCCTCCTCAGGCCTTGTCTGATTTTGGCCAACTGCTAGGACAGCGGAGATGGAGCAGATCTATGTGACTCCCAAGCCACCCCTTGCCTCCTTGCCCTTACCGCCTCCTCCCATGGCACGAGAAGGAGTAGGAGTGTAGACCTGGGGCCAGGCTGGCAGCCAGGCAATGCCCTGCCTGCCTCGTCTTCCCCCAAGCTTGCCCTGTCCTCTCCAGCAGGGCTCTCTCCTGAAGGGAGGACCGAGGCAGCCGCACATCAACCTGAAATCTCTCTTAATGCCCGAAGGGCTGGCCCTGCTGCTTCCGGCACCTGCACCGCCTGAGCAGGAGGGGGAGCTCCGGCTCACAGCCGTTCTGGGCTCCGGGCCTGGCGGTGCAGTTTTGGAGACTCTCCACCCATCTCAAGCGTCTGAAAGGCAGCTCCTGTCAGAGTCCTCAATCTAGGGACTGCGTCGCACAGGAAGAATATTCCAAAAGGTGGGAGACAGACTTTCTCCAAGAGTAAAAATTAAAAGCTTCAGATTTCTAAATCAATTGGGATGTGATTCCAGAGTATGGAACCATGCACAAGGACAACAGAAGAGGCGAACAACACACTGTCAGGTCTTGCTGGCTAAGAGCTACAACTGCTCAGTCAAATGCTTACACTTGGCTTTTTAACTAGGATGAAAAGCCTTGTGGCCCTTTCACTTTTATTTTTTTTATTTTTTTTTTGGTTTTTCTCCGGTACCGGGAACCGAACTCACGACCTTGCGCAGGCCAGGCAGGCGCTCTGCCGCTGAGCTAAGTCCCCAGCCCCATGAGCTAAGTCCCCAGCCCCATGAGCTAAGTCCCCAGCCCCGACCTTTCACTTTGAAACCGCGGAGTGCATGTGCATGTGTGAGTGTTTAGGGGAGGGGGGAGCTATGGTGAAGCTATGATGTTGGTTTTGAGCCATTTTAAGCTCAAATAAAGAGAACCAAGAACTGGCAACCTGAGACCAAGCTACCTAGCCCCAGGTCCGCACTGAGGCCCGGTGCACACACAAGCCAGCGCACTGCCAGTTCTCAGAGGAGACACTGGGCTCACCCCGCCCAGGTCAGAGCCTCGGGAGCATCTGTCCTCCAAGTGTCCTGCTCGCCGAGCTGCCTGGAAGGCTGCTTTCTCAGCAAACAGCACCCCTGACCTTGACAAGTCACAGCACGCCATGCCACCAGCAGGGCTACAGTGCAGCCCCGACACAGGCTGGGGCAGAGAAGCAGGGCAGCCGAGGACGGAGAACCTGCTCTTGGGGCTGAACAGACTGTTCTTCAAGATGTTCAGCTGTAAGTCTGGGACATGGGATTGCAGAAAAGCACAATTTTTGGGGGTGACCCTTAAAAGTAACACTGGGGGGCCCGGCATGGTGGCCCACACCTGTCATCCCAGCAGGCAGGAGGCTGAGTAGGAAGATTGCTGAGAGACTGAGGCCAGCTCTGGTGACAGTGAGTTCATGGCCAGCCTGAACTTCATAGCGACACGCTGCCACAAACAAACAAACAAACAAGCCCACCCCAAACCTACTGGGATAAAATTCCGCTCTGGAAATGTGAAAATTACCTGAGCTATACGGTTACAACATGTGAATAGTGTGTATACATCCACATGCACATAGGTGTTATGCTCAAAAGTCACCCCTCAAAACGCACTTGGGACGAGCTGAAATGATACAGACGTGAGAAGGCAGTGGGCACGCGGGATGCCCACTGACCCTGCAGCTCAGGATGTGTCCTTGTTTATGTTTTAGTTATTGTTCTGTAACGCTGGCTGCTCTACGAGTTCTTCCCTAGCGAGGATTTTTTCCCTAAGACTAGGTTCTCTCAGGAGCTGCATTTCCTGCACCATGCCCTTGGCAGCCCGGCTCGGAAGAGTTGGCGAAGTTCTAGCGATGTAGCAGCTGCTCAGTGAACGTCACAGTACACTGGAGCACAGAGTAAGCTCTTCCGTAGCTGCTCCCACTCCCCGGAGATGACCGCCCGGCTGCCTGCTCCCAGAGGGCCCTGCGTGAGCGGGCGCGCAGGCAGGCAGCTATGAGTAATAGTGTGGGTACCTGTTTTATTCGGCGCAGAAAACCCGAAGCCTTGCGATGCCACACTTCCTCCTCCAGAGCTGAAAGTGCCAGAGGGCTTCTGCTCTCCGAAGGACGAGCTGGGAAACCCTCCGAAAGTCTTGGCCCCGCTGTTTCCAAACAGGTTAGAGGTATCTGAAGGGACAAGAGCGCATGTGCATGGGAAGTCTGGGTGAGAAAAGCCCTCCTCACCTCCCAGCAGCAAGGAGTCGGGAGACCAGGTGTGGAGGTGGCCTGGGACCTGGGAGCCCTCTGGCCTGTGTGCAGCCTGACCCTGAGTCCATCCTTGCTGTAGCACCTGGTTTGGGGCTTCCGGGCATGGTGCCATGGGCACAAAAGGGCAGAAGCTGCCCCGAGGGAGCAACCCTGGGGGCTCTGGGACGTCTTGGAGGGCCAGCAGCTCAGCTCCTGGAGAAGAGGGTCTGCTTTCCATGTGTGAAGAGCAGCTTCGAGCCAGCTGGTCTAGGGAAAACAAGGTCAGAGCAAACCCAGCCCACACAGTGGCTCCTGCATGCCTGCTGCTGCTGGGGCTGCACAGAGTGGGCGACACAGGAAGACCCGGGTCCCGTCTCTGCTCTGACGGGAGTGAGGCCTGCTCAGACGGACGCTCGGGGGTGGCCAAGTAGTGCATGTTTAAGTTAAAGGTTCCACACTAAAACACATTTCACGAGTCCCTTCACTTCAGACACACTTGGCCCGCTGGCCTTGCCACTTCTGCAAGCGGTTCTGGAGTTCTCCTCCGTGTCTTTAGGGCATGTGACTGCAAGTCCAGCCAATGCTGCTGCTGAGTGCCGCCCGGCGAAGGCAGGCTCAGAAAATGTGATGCTGCGCCCTCAGCCCCCTAATCTGGCACCTGTGACTTCTGGAGCTTCCTAAGTCGAAGTGACCATGAGAGAGAAATGTTCTGAATCAATTCGGAATACTAAGACAGCGTAACAGTGTAACTAAAGACAAAAGACAGCAAAGAGGATGCCAGCCCTGCTGCAGAAGGCGGCAAGGACAACGGGACGAGCCGCGCGCGTACACTCTGAGGGAGGCTCCTGGCAGTGTGTTTCTTTCTTTCTGTAGTTAAAAAAAGCCCAAGAGCCAACAACATGTTCACCATACTTTTTGATCACACCCTATACAAGGGGCCAGCGAGGCCTTCCTTTTAACTTCCTCTTTTTAAGAGGTTCAGAGAAATCCTTGACCTTTCAAACGCTTATCTAGTGGACTGCTGCGTTCCCTCAACTATGCACCGAATCTGCTCCAAGAGCCAAGAGAATAAAGGAAACCACGAGACCCTCCAGACGGGTGAGTTCTTTTGTTTGCTGCAGGAAATGCAAGCCCGATCAGACAATATGTACATGCCGAAGTCACAGAGACGCTCCCAGCGCACCCATCCACCAGCGCCTAGGCCAGCGTAACCCGAGTTTCCCAGCACACCTGGGTGGGGCCCTGCGCTACCCTGAAACGCAGCGGAGGCCCAAAGAGAAGGCGCCGACACAGGACGGCTGTGCACAGGCAGTGGAGATTGTGCTGCCAAGTGCGAAGGCAAGCGTCCGCGTGTGACCAGCCTCTCCCGGCCCTGGCACTCCCGCTGAAGGGTGGGTGCCTTCACGGTCACTTCTGATGCCATCCCCCTGCTGCCAGTCTCACCCCACCGGACGTGGTCACATCAGGGCTGCCACAGCACTCACTGCCTTCGCCCTGACGAGGAGGCTCCTCTGGCTAAGGAGCCCGCGCTGGCATGCCGAGCAGGGGCCTGGAGATGGCCCTCTCTCCCTCCTTCCTGTTCCACCATGTGACTGCTGACCGGGGAGGGGACCTGGACACTCCCTGAGCAGCCTGCTCGTCCCTGAACACGTGAACCCAGGGTCACATCTGATTCTCTGCAGGGCTGCACGAGGGACACTGGACAGGATAAATGGGATCCTCCGCCTTTCCCCTCACTTGGAATTTCAAGAACCTGGGTTGCTGTTTTCCAACTTTATTACAGCTACCAAGGTAAAATTCCAAATAACAAATTCCAGTGCAAGCCTGGGGTAGGCTCTCCTCCCCAGGAATCTGATGCAGCCTGTGAAGTGAGGGTGACATGATTTGAGTGGGACAATACCATACAGGGGACTTCAATTCCTGAGATGCCAGAGAGCACTAAGAAGTGCTTCGGCTTCTTTCTCTCGTTCTCTCTTTCAGAATCCTCCAACAGATGACATCAGTCTGTCAGACACACCTGCACACAGGTGCCCTGAGCTGTAAACCACCAGAGTCCATCAGCAGAGGACTGGGTAGAGGAACTGGGCGACACCCACACGACAGAAGACTACCCAGCCACGAGAAGATGAAAGCTGTCACTGTGGCACTTGGAGATCGCCGCGTTCGTGGAATAAGCCAGGCACAGAAAGATGCACACTGCGTGAGCTCACGCGTGTGTGGAACCTAGAAAGCTGGTCTGAGAGGCTGAGCAGGACAGTGGACACCAAGTGCGGGGAGGAGTGGGGCTGAGGAAAGGCTGACAGGTGCTACGTGACAGCAGAGAGACGCTCGCGTGTTCTGTAGACAGCAAGGTGAGCGCAGAGAACAGTATGTGCTTGGTTTTTTTTCATAGCTCGAAGGAAGGATTTTGACTTTTAAATCAAGGAGACAGGTTTACTCTGAATGAACATTATGCAATGTATCAGAAACCTTTCTATGGCTGGGACAAAATCCCTGACAACCATGACCTAAGGAGAAGGGGCTGATTCTGGCTCACAGCTGCAGAGGGCTCAGCCCATGGGGGACTGGGAATCCCATCATGGAGGAAGGCTGTGGTGGAGGAATGCAGCTCACCTCATGGCCAGGGGGCAAGCACAGGAAAAGGTGGAGAGGTAGGGTCAGGGACCAGATACGGTCTCCAGGTGTGTGCTTTCATAATCTAGGCAGCTCTCAAGCCAGACAAGCTGCCAATCAAGATTAACTATCACAAGCTATGTGTCCATGTACCTAAACAAAACATGGCGGCCCAGAAATATATAGACAATTTTATGTAATTAGTGAAAGAAAAAAAGAACACGCTGTCTTTGAAGATGTCTGGAGTGTGCTGTGGTAGAATAAAGCTGGGCTTTGCAGTCTGACCTGGGTTAGATTACCTAACAGCTGTGTGACCTTGGGAAGGACTTCACACAGCACCGCGACAGTACTTGTGCCCACGAGGCTGCCGGGCCGACACAGGGAGAAATGAGCACAGAGCACCTGCGGACGAAGGCAGAGGCTAAAGGACTAGGCCCTTTGGGTTCCCTCAGCCCCTCCCCCTCCCACACTACAGCCATGTTCAGTGTAAAACAGCAGCTTGGCCACAGGAAACTAAGCCTTTCCCTTTTGGCAAAGAGACCAAGGGTCACCCCCTGCCGCTGTGATGACAGCAACCTGGAGGCTCTGAGGAGCCCAAGCGGTGGAACACCCTGCGGTCTCTCTCGCTGTTCTGACCCCAGGTGGCACCGGCGCCTGCTTGCCATTTCCAGTCAACAGTGTGTGGCTCGGTTCCCTCCCAGGGGCTCCGAAACAGCAGACTCTGGCTTCTGCAAGCACGACTCCAAAGAGCACCTCGGTGGTTAGCGTCTGCACTGTCGATGTCCGACCTAGCACTAAGGAACATCTGTATTTGCACAGGCCAACACTTCGGGGGTGATGAGTCCAGTAAACCGGCATATGCTCTGGGCTTTCCTCTGCTGGTAGGACATGGATGCTCCGGTCTCGTCTGCAAACCATGCGAACCCACCATCAGGGCTGATCAGGGCTGATCTGGTCTCAGACACACACAAGGGAGGTTAAGTCTGATGGTGACAGCACCAGAGACTGTCCTGTCTGTCTTTCTGCAGGACTGAGGTCACTGAACTGTCTCCAAGACACCCTTTGACGGGACAGCTGTGGGGGAGCCTGACTGGCCTGAAAGGTGGTCAGCAAGTGGCTTCCTGGCCCTGGCATCTTTCAGGTCCCTGAGGAGAAAGCACGTGGTAAGGAGACAGCAAATCCTTCCGGGTGACAAACCCCAGGGATGCTGTGTTAATACAGCCGGGGCTAAGCGTCCGTCTCAGTAGCCTCTGGGGATGACAGAGACAGAAACCCTATGCAGTGGTGCTTGTGAGGCACAGCAGGCTGACTCGGAGCAGTGGTGCCCACAGCTCTTCACCTGTGAATGACCCAGCAGTGAGAAAAGTCTCAGTTGTTGTTTTAGTTACTGTCCTTGTTGCTGAGACAAAATACCCACATCCGAAGTTAAAGGGGAGAGGTTTACTTAGCTCACAGTTTGTAGAGGTTTCAGTCCATAATCCGCTGGCTCCAAGGCAGGGTGGCGTAGCAGAGGAGAAACAATTGTGGCGGGCAGAAGGTAGCAAAGCAAGCAAGGGATATGAAAGCCTTTTTCTGTCCCTTCTACTGCACCCAGGCTACCAGGATTAGACCATGGACTGCTTCAGTAACCATCCACCCTTAATCCCAGCATTGCACCATGAATCAATCACACACTCTAGACTCAGCCACCTCTGAAAAAGCCCCACCTATGACTGCATGAGGCTTTGGGGGGACATCTAGACAGAAGCCTTAACAGTCATGGTCACGGTGCACAGGACTTCTCAGGCCAGTTCAGGTGGCTTCATGACCAGGCAGCCTGTGGCATAACTGTTGCCAAAGAAACTGCAGGTTTCCTACCTGTGCTGGGACCTCCACGTGTAAGGAGTGTGTTCCACAACGCACAGCTGGGAGGCATCTCTTTACTGCCAGGCCCGAGAGGGTCTGGGCTTGGAAAATGACCCTGACTAAATTCTGGCAAGGCTCCTTAGCAGCCCTGTGACCTCTGTGGCCCTCACTCCCTCCTGGACATGGGGACAGTCTCCATTGCAAGAAGTGATCGGCCTATGTTACTAAGCAGCTGGCACACAGCCAGTGACCGATCAAGGTCAGCTCCCTCTGGCTGATGCTTCGGGAAGCAATGGAACCATGTGCCGTGGGTTTTCAGAGAGGGAGAGCTCTCCAGGCCCAGCCCAGGCTCCGGCAAAGGGGCAGCCTTCACCATCCCTGCAGGGGAAGCTGGGAGGTGGGTGCAGGGAGCAGGTGAGCCATGCACATACACAGGACGAGGAAGAGGACAGCACTTGAGCGGCTGAGCAGCGGGAACAGGCTGGGGAAGGGACCCAGGACAGAATGGAGCACCCAATGGGTAAGATGCTGCCAGAGGGTGCTGAGCAGGGGCGGTGGTGAAGTAAAAGCAGCTTAAAAAGGTGTGATTCGAGATGGATTTCCTGACCATCCTAGTCTCCTGACCGAGACTGGAGCAGGCAGGGGAGTGCGGATGGGCAGGAGCTAGAGTGCGGGGACGCACTGCACAGTGGGAAGAGAGGAGGGAGGAGGGAGGCGGGAGCAGGGGCTCCTATGGCATGGGGGACGGGGCGCGCGCGTGCTCGGGTGCTGTGGTCGCTCAAGGAGAAACAGCTGCCACCTGGGACTGCAGCAGCACCAGGTACGGTGGTGAGGACCGATGGTGAGGATCAACTTCCACCAGCCCCCTCCTCCACCGTCCCTTCCCTTCCCTGTGCTTGGCCCTAGGCTTAAAGGGATTTGCCCTCTTTCATTATCGAATTTTACACTCTTAAAATGCAATAATGGAAAGCTGCTTACCCCTTCAAATTCACTTACGCCTCCCTGAAGCGTAAGTGTAAACTGCTGGCTCACAATCAACAGCCAACATTTAGGAGGTGGTCAGCGGGTGCCCGCTTTGAACACGTAACCCAGAGCTGGAACTATGCATGGTGGCGCGCGTGCCTGTAATCACAGTTACTCAGAAGGCTGAGGCCAGCCTGGCAACCTGGTGAGACCGTCTCAAAACAGAAAATAGAAAAGGACCTGGGAGGGGATGGGGATTTAGCTCAGCGGCACAGCGCTTGCCTGGCAAGCCCAAGGTCATGAGTTTGATTCCCGGTACGGGAAAAAAAGAAAAAGAAAAGGACCTAGGATACAGCTCAGTAGTAGTAGAGCACTTGTTTTTCTGGCAGGTGCAAGGCCCTGGGCTCCATCCCCAGCAAACAACAACAATCACATGAGCGTTTGCTTGAAATCACATGGAAAGTATCAGGGACAGTGAAGGGCCAGAAAGTGCGCGACCCCCTGGGGCAGGAGCAGCGCTGGCCTGTAGTACCCTCGGTCTCCGTGGTGTTACTTCAGGCCACATGACACAGATGTCCCTGCCCACAGTCTCGCGAGAGAGGTAAAGGTTTGAGTCGCGGAAGCCAGCGCATGCCAGGTGCAGCCAGCCCTGGGAGAAGAATTTTGACAGCGCAGAGCTGGGCAGCAGAGCTGGGCTGGCTGGGAGGGGAGTTTACAGGGGTCCGACATGCTTACGCTGCTAACAGAACGGGCCAGCAGCGAACCGCACAGATCACACCCGACATGCGGCCACCCCTCTTGTAATGAGCACGCTGTCAAGTGCTCATCTATGCCAGATATGCCAACTCAGGGCCCACGTCCAGCTAGCACATCACAGCTGATCTAGCCAAATTCTAGACCTGCCACTTCCTGGCTGTGACTTGGAAGGACACGTCACAGTATGTACTCACGGAGCCCTCCTGTGCTACCTGACAGCTGGGAAGCTACCCACACGTAGCTCCGGGTTCTTGAGCCCCGTCTCTACGTGAACCTATTTCTGTTTTACTTATCAGGATTCTGCTCAGGAGTTCATCTACAGAAAGAGCTTTTGAAAATGATCAGACCTGACTTCTAAGATGCCTTCATTCCACAGTTCTAAATCCCTGCTGGCAGGCGGGGAGCTGAGGAACCAAGATTTCTGGTTCTGTAACTGCAGGAGATGAGAGGTGTGTGACCTTCGATACCGAATCTTATGTCTTACTGGGAGGGACGGGGATATCAAAAACACTCATTCTTGACCTATGAATCCAAAAGAGCAAGTAAGGATAGAAAATCCTGCTTTTAACCCCAGAGGCCTCACTACTCAGGGAAACCCCACCACGGCGGTGAGGGGTGTCAATCAGAGCACACGTCCAGCTCGTGCAGCACCACCCACGAGCGGCACCGCGGACCGAGTGCGCGGAGGGAGGAAGTGCAGTGACGACGACCGGCACCCACCCGCCAAGCGCAGCTCCATCTGCGGCACGGATAAATCTTTCTAAAAAGTACATTTAAAGGTTCGAATAGATTTCCTTCACTTCCAATCACGAATCACCAACTCAACAAAGAATCTCAGAAATGAGCTGGAGAAGTGCTAACCGGTAACAGCTTCAGATGCAAAGAGAACAAAAACGGAAACGACGCAAGAAACAGTGAAGGCCTCCCTGCTACGCAGCTGGACTTCACAGCAGAGTCAGACACGGCTGCTCGCTCCTTTCTGCCTGCCTGCTCCAGTTCGCTGCAAGTCATCTCACACTAAGGAACAGTGGGCTGGGCCTCTGGAGGAGACGGGAGAGCTCAGCGTGCTGCAGCTCTGTCTCCCCACGATGACACACGACTCCTCACAAAGAAGCCTGAATAAAAAAGCCAAAGCTGATCACACCACTGTGGGGCAGGCATTGCAACTGGACCTTCTAGATCTTGTTCCTCCCTTTTCCTATTTGTCTATGAAGCTTGGGTAACATCAGAAAGACAACCACGGCACTAAGGGACCAAGGGACTGGGAAAACTCTTGTCACTTACTTGGGGTGGCTGACGATCCAAAGCCCCCACTCGTTGAGCCGAATGGGTTTTTGTTGGCTGCATCCTGGCTGGGTTTCCCTCCAAGGCCACTGAAGAAACCTCCGCCCCTTCCAGTGTTTCCAGACCCAAACACGCTCCCGCCAGAAGTGGATGACTGCTGAAAAACAACAGGGGCAGGAAGCAAGCTGGGATGAGAGGTCATTGTCAAACGGCGGGCCATATCCGCGGAGGAGGGGCTGCGGCAGGGCCACACGCGTGGAGAAAGCAGGGTGCAGTGATTAGCTCCGGGAGGTGCACCCCAACACCCCAGCAGCTGCGCTCTGGACAGGGGCTTCCTCCACATCCGTGGTTCCCAAGTGAACGCTGTCATCGGGAGGTGGGGACTTCCAGGGCTTCTCTCCCCTGCTGCCTGCCCTGCCTGACACCGTGCCAGGGGCAGGAGAACCAACCCCACACACGAGCCACCAAATGAAAAGTTTGAAAACATGCAGGCGCCATGGTGAGGACCACTTTTCCTGACTCCTCTAGTGTTGGGCTGAACTCATCAGCAACTGACGATGAGTGATTTACAGTCATTTCTCCCCCTTTGTGTGCTCTCATTTCATAATGACTTTCCCAGCGCTGCAGAAAGCTTAAATTAGCCCATTGTTGAAGTGATGACCATCGCTGAATTCTGGCCAAGTCTGCAAATCTTACGCTCGAGGATGCTGCTAACTCGGGGCACCCGCTGACTCTGAGCGTACACAGGCAGTGGCCACCTGACTTCAGCTCTCCACAGCCAGCCCAGGGATAGACTTGAAGCTGCTCTCATCTGTGAAGCTGACGCTCCTCTGGCCGCTGATGTGAGGTGGGCTTCAGAGGCAGGTGGCTGTGCTCCCTGACCAGGGGGCAGCGTGGTGCTGCTGGGCCTGGGGTCATCGACTACCCACCTCATGGTGCTGAGTGAATGAAATGAGCCTGGCATGTGACTACATGTTCAAGAAGGCCGCTGCTTGGGATGGTGACAACTGTACCGCACCAAACAATGATCAAGCCTTCCCTACGTGCTTGGTGTTTTTCTCAGTACTTCGCAAGCAGCCCTCCAATCCCTCAGCCAGCCACCTCCGAAACTTCTCCCAGTGCCTCCCGCCTCCGCTCTGGTCTAAATTTCACCGGGCCCTGTTCCTGCAGCAGCTGGGGGTAGAGAGCACCCACCCGCCTGCAAACGTTAAAAGACCTCCCCAGTCCACGCCTGCTATCTTTCCCTGGTCATCTGTGACCACCCGCCCTGGTGCAGCACAGACACCTGCCTTCTGTGCCCCGAGAAGGACAAACTCCCTTTGGCTGTGCAGCATCGTACTGAAGGTCCACGATGATTCCTTTGTTCTATAAACCTTTTTTAAAGCAAAATAGTTGACTACACCCACTTACCAATAACCGAGAGCTTTTTAAACTAGGAATCCAAACATAAAAGCGAAAGACGTAATCACCAGTGAACCGCGTCTGTGAGGAGGGAAGCCGTGACGCCAATGTGTGCACGAAGAGCCAGGCCTCTGCTGACGTCAGGCCGACACACTGGAAGCTTGCCCTGTGACAAGCAACAGCTTCATGCGCCTCAGCCTACGTTTAACACTGTGATGCGACAAATACTGGCTGTCCACAGAGACCGGAAGTGACAACACACTTGCCCAAAGAGTAGGTGAGCTGATAGTTTCCACAGCCTCTTCAAAGGGTCAGAGGAGTCCTTTCCTTATAGGCAACAGTTTTTGCAACTTAAAATTGCAGAAGACCTCAGAGATATCCAAGAAATTCAGTATACCTGTAACACTCACTCTGCTGTCAAACTTTTCTCATGATTTCTTTCACTTCAGGTACTAAATTTATGTATTTATTTTTGGTACTGGGAATCCGACTCAGGACCTTACCCTTGCCAGGCAGGTGCTTGTGCCGCTGAGCTATATCCCCAGCCATCAGATACTACATTTAAACTTCACAGACAGGGGCTCTGCCTTTTCAGCTTCTCTGCTGAGCTCCCACGTCTGGTGCTTCTTGCAGTGTATTTCCATAAACGCTTGTCATTTTAGCCTGTCTCTAGTTCCAACATCCACATCACCTTCTGGTTGGTTTCTGCTGATCTTAACAATCTGACTGTGGTGCCCTGCCCCTTTTCTGGTGGTTCTGTCCACTTCTGGTTGTTTCTCTCTCTGCCTGGACGTGCACATTGGGGAACATACCGGCCACTGAGCACTGTTGCCCGAGAGACTCTCACTCTCGCTCCCTGCACCAAGAGTTCTCCCTGTGTCTGTGGGCTGGGCGAGCCGCGGTCCAGACTCTCTTCCCTGCTGTGGAACAGGTGTGGATGGGAGGCACCGAGCTCACCTGCGTTAGCTCAAGGGTCAGGGTTTTTTGCTCATCTGAGCCTGGAGTGGGCAGCAGCTGGGCTGTAGTGGTCACTCTGGGTTCCACAGCTGAATGCAAAAGGATGTAAGGCCCTGGAAGCTCATCCTGCTTTTAAGGCGGCCTTTACTTCCTCTTCCTCAGCATAAGGAAAGAATGGTGGGAGGTACTTATGCCGGGCAAATTACTGTTGAACTTGCAAATCTTTCAGATTCCAATCTGATTTGTATTTTTGTTTGAGACAGGGTCTTGGTATGTAGGTCACACATTAGCCCAGGCTGATCTCAAACCCCAGGCAATCTTCCTGCCTTAGCCTCGAGTGCTGGGAGGACAGGCAGGTATCACCACGCCTAGCAAGCTGATTTTTTTTCCTGATCAGTTACAGTACACTGATTTAAAGTATAAAACTCAATGGCTTTTAGTGTATCATTATCAACTTCTAAAAATTACGATAAAATATATGTAACAAAAAATTTGCTATTTTTAACTCCTTTTTGTTTTTTTTTTTGTTTTGTTTTGTTTTTCTCCGGTACCGGGAACCGAACTCACGACCTTGCGCTTGCCAGGCAGGCGCTTTTGCCGCTGAGCTAAATCCCCAGCCCCTCCTTTTTGTTTTTTTGAGATAGGATTTCTCTATGTAGCTTAGGCTGGCCTTAAACTCAACTCTGTAGCCTAGGCAGGCATTGAACTCGCAGTGATCCTGTTTCAGCCTCCTGAATGCTGGGATTGCAGGTGTGTGCCACCATGCCTGGCTTACTTTAACCACTTTTTTTTCTTCTTTTTTTTCCGGTACCAAGAATCAAACTCATGACCTTGCGCTTGCCAGGCAAGCGCTGTGCTGCTGAGCTAAATCCCCAGCCCCTACTTTAACCATTTTTAAGTGTTCAATCCAGTGGGATTAACTGCATTCACAATGTTGTGCAACTGTCACCGTAACTTCTAAAACTTTTTCATCACCCCAAACTAAAACTCTGCAACTGTACAGTACTAACTCCCAATTTCTTCCACCTTTAGTCCCTGGTAGGCACAGATGAATGTACGTACTCCAGACAGCCCTGCACAGTGGAGCCTTCACTGTCTGTCCTTCTGTGTCCGCTCATCTCACTGAGCACACTGCCTTCAAGGTTCATGCAGTAGGAACCCACTAACCCACACCTCCCATCTGCTCAGCGTCTGTCTGTGGGTGGCAGGTGCCGGCTCCACCCCTTGACAGCTATGGACAATGCTGTGTGAACTCCAGCGTGCAGGTCTCTGCTGGGCTCTTTCAGTTTCTCGGGACACACACCCAGAAGCAGTCCCTGGGGCACGGCAGGAACGCTGTGTTCAGGGTGTTGAGAGCGCACCCAACTGCATTCCTTGCTGGCTGCAGTTTTACCCCCCACCATGCAATGTAGGGCTTCCCATTTTTCCGTGCCCCCACCAACACTTGTTTTTGAAGGGGTATCTCACAGTAGTTTGATTTTCATTTCCTTAATGTGTAATGCTGTGATCCTTTCTTTTGGGTGGTGGTTATTGTACTGAACTACATCCACAGCCCTTTATCATGTTGAGATAGGGTCCTGCTAAGTCTCTCAGTTGCCCAGGCTGGGCTGGAACTTGAGATCTCCCCATCTTAGCCTCCCAGAGGGCCAGGATTACAGTCCTGTACCACCATGCCTGGCTGCTATTGATCACCTCTTCTTGTGCTTACTGGTCAATTCTTTTGCTTGCCTCACCGCTGCCAATAGCTTCTTGCCCAGCCAGAAGATCTCAATCTTTAGCAAGGCCTCTCTTCTTTTTTTTTTTTTTGGTTTTTTTTTTGGTTTTTCTCCGGTACCAGGAACCGAACTCACGACCTTGCGCTTGCCAGAGCAGGCGCTTTTGCCGCTGAGCTAAATCCCCAGCCCCAGCAAGGCCTCTCTTCCACCCGGCCAAGCCCAGAACTAGCACTTGTTCCCGAGGCTGCCCCCACCACTGTGCTCCCAGCAGAGCTCCGTTCACTGCACTGCAGTTCAGGAAGGGGTCACCGCTCTACAACAGTCCTACAGGGCACACTGTCTTCCAAAGAAGGCGCAGCAGTAATTCTCATCTCCCCTGGGGCATCTGCCCTTCCTCCCCATGAGCCTGGAGGAAGAGGCCTCCAAGGACAGCCACGAAGGTTAGCGGCTTGGGCTCAGATCTTTCTCCTTAGAATGTTCCTCTTTGAAGTGCAGCCACCCACTGTGGGAAGCAGCCTAGGCCACAGCGGCAGGTTCAGGTCAAGGTCGCAGGGCTGCCCAGCCCCCAGGCTCCTGTCTTTCCAGCTGGGAATGTAGCTACTGGGGACAAAGACCAGCCCCTCGCCCCGCCCGAGTCCCTGATCCAGAGTGTCTCTGTCTGTAACGAACAGCTGTTGCAGGTGCTAGGGCTTCCGCAGACTATTACACAGCACCAGATAATTCCAATACTCATTTTTCTCAGTGTTTTACTGGGTGCGAAGGTTTTCTGTTCTGTTCTGCTCTTTGTGGTGCTAAGGACTGAGCCAAGGACTCACACATGCTGGCCAAGTGCTCTGTCACTGAACTAAACCCCACTCCTTTTTTTAAATTTTAAGACAGGGTCTTGCTAAGTTGCCTGGCCTGGCCTTGAACTTGTGATCCTCCTGACTCAGTCTCCCAGGCAGCTCGGACTGCAGGTGTGTGCCACTGACGGCCGCAGTGACGGCCTTCTCTGTTCTTTTGCTCCGAGCCAGTCGGGTTTCCTGGGGCTCCCTTACCACGTGAAGACTCATCTCCACAAGGTCTCTCCTGCCGTCAGTCTCAGGACAGGCACCGGGGGTATGACTATGAATAGAAAAGGTTCCTGCCCTCATGGAGAATATTTTAGTTTGAGTATTTAGTCCCTCCCAGGAAGAATGGGGTGGTTTTTAACAATATAGAATTTACAACATAAAAGGTAGCAATAATCTCTTTGGCCCAACGTTATGCCTTTTAGTTGCCCACGTTAATGTAATTGTTCGTTTTCACAGCTAGATACACTCAGCATTATTACAGAGTAATACAAGTTCATCTACTCATTTACATGCTGACGAAGATCTGGGTGGCTTCCATTTCTCACTGTGATAACAAGGCTGCTATGAATACTTCCACAGCCTGGTACACACACACACAGGAGCTTCTTGGAAGAACAAACCTAGGGTGAAACTGGTTTTCACTGGATGATACCAAGCTTGTCCGCGGCGGCGCCGCACAGGTATAGCCCCTCTGGAGCTCTAACTTCTGTCACTAGTGAAGTTAAACATCTTCATGTGTGCTGGTCCTGTGTCTGTCCTCTATTTTTTAAATGTGTTCTTACTCCTCTTTCTACTTTTTTATTGTGGTAAAACAGACACAACATAAAACTGCCACTTTAGCTACACAGTATAGCGCAAGGGCGCACAGTGCTGCTCAGCAGCACCCTTCTTTTAGGATTTGTCTTCTGCCTGTTTTCTTCCTACTGTTTTTTACTATGGTCACAAAGGTAATAAAACTGAGACTGACTGCATTTTGCCGTGGGATCACAACAGTGTACGAGGCTCGATGTCCAAGCTGGCCAGCAGTCAGTGCTTCCTGAGCTCCCGCAGGCCTCCTCTGCACTGCTCTCAAAGTCCCTGCGAGTACCAACTGCCAGTACCTTAGTCCCGCCGCCTGCCCTGGACCCTCTGGGAAAAGCCGAAAGTATTAAAGCCAGCACTCTAGCAGCGGGCTCCTTTCACCGACTGCTAAGCCTGGGGATTCGTCTGTTTGATCTGAACAGGAGCAACACGTTCTATTTCCTTGCTTTGCAGTTTTCCAGCTACGTAAATACAGCACAATTTATTTGTCCATTCATCTCATATAGATTGAAGTTGTTTCTTGTTTTAGCTACTAGGACTATACTGCTATGAGCATTTTTTCTGTATCTTTTGGTGAACAAAGGCACTCATTTTTGCTTGGTTAGCCAAGGCGGATCTTCTGGGTCAATAAACACTGCCTATTAGTTTTGAGACTCCACATGGTTTCCCAAGGACGTGATGTGAGCTTACACTCATCACGGGACATGAGCTGCTAGTTGCTCTACTCCTCACCAATACGCAGCATCGTCTGCTCTTTTATTTTTAACTGTAGCAGAAAATGCCCCCCCCAACCCCGCCAGTACACTTCAGTTGCCCACGTGATAGTTCCTGTTGCAGCTCCAGTTGCTTCTGTCTCTTAGAAATGGCCAGTCACTGGAATGCACATTGTGAGAACCAATGAAAGACAACCAAATACTCTACCTCTAAACCCCTAATCCCAAAAGGACCTCCCTCCCTGGGCCTTCAAGGCCTGACATTTTGAGAAACAATTGATTCCTAGTCAGCACCTGTCTGATGTTAAATAAATCTCCCTCCAAATCCTGGGTGTTGTTTCAGTGTTCCTGTTTGCCACTGCATAACCATTTTGGAATAGGTGTAGGTATCTTTTTCTTTTTGATATGTAGGAATTCTTTATATATTCTGAATACAATTACTCTGCTGGTTACGTAGGCTATAATTTTCCTTGTTTTACTCAAAAAGTAAGAAGGCCACCATTTTGGTGGGGTCAAGTTTTTCTTTTACTTGAAAAACATCCCTTAGAACTTCCTTTAGGTTGGATAACACGAAATCCCTCAGCATCTGTTCACCTGCAAGATTACCTTGATTTCTCTCCATTCTTTAAAGACATTTCTTGCTGGGGTAGCGTCCCAGGCAGACTGACTCTGACCCCTGGCTTTCCTGGCCACATTGAGAAGTCAGCTGCAGCCGGGCTCCTCAGCAGACAGCCCGCCTCCTCTCTGCTTCCCCTAGGTCTTTCATCTTGCCTCTCCCGCACTCTCACCATGCCCAGCCGCAGCAGAATGTCTTTTCGTGTGTTCTGCTTGGCACCTGTCGGTCTTCTGAATCTGTGGGTTACTTTTTTTTTTTTTTTGGTTTTTCTCCGGTACCAGGAACCGAACTCACGACCTTGCGCTTGCTAGGCAGGCGCTTTTGCCGCTGAGCTAAATCTCCAGCCCCTGTGGGTTACTTTTATCTACTGGTTTTAAAATTTCTGTCTTCTTCTCTTCTAACAGCACCACATTTTCTCTCTTCTCCTGAACACTGACTAGATGTGTGTTAGACTTTCTCTTAGAGGATTTCTGTTCTCTGTTGTTATTTTCCATCCTTTTGCCTTCCATCATGTATGCCAGATAACCTAACTTCTAATTCAAGGGTCAGCAAATTTCAGGAACTAAATCCCACCCACCATCTGTTTTTCTAAATAAAGCTTTACTGGCACATAACCAGGCTCGTTCACTATAAACTGTGGCCGCTTTTGTGCCAGCCACACAGCTGAGCAGCCGATACGCTGTAAGTAACCTGTCAGGTCGGCAGCCCTGGTCTTCAGACACCACAGCCCTGTACAGCTAGGTCTCAGCTGCCTTTAAATACACCCACAAAACCTTCAGTTTGAATTACTGAACCACTAACTTTTTTCCTAGAAGTGCTACTTGATTTTCAAAGCTGCTACAACACTTGTAATTTCCTAATCCTAACTGGTATTTTCAAGTTTGTCTTTTATTTCTCCTAAGCCTGTGAAATGAAGTGTTCTGCAGTCTAGATCATCTCTGCAAATGTATTTCTGAGATTCATTCTGGCTGTGCTCACAGTTCTGTGCGGAAACGGACTTGTGGGAACTGAGGTCCTTAACAACCATCCATAAGAATGACACGTGGCCTCAGGAAAGTCCCTTGGCTTTAAAGGGGGGCTGGGCGGCCTCTGCCCAACTTCTGCAGGGACCACCCCTGGGACCACGTCAGGCTCCGTGCAGGGAGTGAGCCCTGTGAATTGAGTCCCAGCTCACTGAAGGAAGTCTCGCTTTTGGATTTCCTACGTTGTGCATAGTGCTCTCTGTCCCTTTGTTCCTGGGGCTAGCTCGTTTTCTCAGGTCAGTAAAGCTCCTGAAGGCACAACTGCGTTACACTTCCTCCAGCCTCCCATTTTCCCACTGGTTTGGCTTGGTAAAATTCCTGCTAGCTTATCAAGGCTTTCTATGTTTCACCTAGTATTTTTTGCTGGCTTTGGCAGAGAACTTGGTTTGAATGACCAGGCTACCATTACCAGGAACTAGAAGTCAGAAGTTTCATTTCCCTCTTTTTAGAGTAGGGTGGAGGCCTTTTTCAAAGGAAACAAGAGGTAATAAGAAAACCTACGGAAGAAGTACAAGAAACATCATGCCTGCCCCTTTACGAATTCCTCTGCAGCAGCGTGCACTGCTCTAAAAGCTGCTGGCCCGAAACAGCAAACCCCACCTCTCTGGGACCTCAAAGTCCTCAGCACCTACCCGAGATGACCTCCTGAGCCAGGCCTGGCACACAGGACTGTATGGAGTGCAACAGCTCCATTCGCCAGCAGGAGCCCTGAACTAGAGTTCGGCAGGGCCACGCGCGTGCACGTGCTCTCTGCTGCACACTCTTCTCTTCCCATTTCTTTTTTCCCAAGAACTTTAAACAAGGCTTAAGGATTCGGCCTGGCAACTGCTGGCCTAAGAGAACATGCAAAGGTAAAACAGAGGAGGCAAGGCCTTCCCCGCCGTCCCCAGGGGGCTGCCGAAAAAGGGTCGGTATAGTACTTGGGTTCTCTCTAGTCTGAGATGGACAGTGCATGTCTTTGAGGCAGTGAAGAGGGTTTGGACACACAGCGCGAACTGATGGTATTACACCGGGGGAAACGGGCAATGTTGACGCAATGCAGAGGAACATCACCTTTACCTGGCCAAAGACGGTCCCGCCAGTATTGGCTGCCTGACCAAACACAGAACTGGTATTACCAGATCCAAAACCTAGAGAACAAAAGAAAATGTTGAGTTCAATTTGGATGAGTCTTTTACAACATAAAGCATCCTCTTTTTTTAAAAAAATGGTATTCAGGTGTGCAAAATTACTCCACAGTAAGTCAACTTATGAATAAAGCTTTCATATAAGCTACGTAATGCTCCCATATGCTCGCGGTCTCCCCCGGGTTGCGTATGCTACCTGGCACACTGAAGATGCTAAGGCAACAGCTGTCACACTGTATTGTTTAAGGAATAAGGACAAGAACACAAGTCCATGTATGTTCAGTATAGGTTTCTCAGTGGTGCCAACCCATGGCTGGTTTCTGTATCCTTAGGTGCAAGGCCAACTGTGTTACCTCTCTCTAAGACTGTCAACTCACACCGAGCCCGAGTCCTCCTCTGCTATGCGGGGCAGAGGCCGAGCAGCACACTCTCCCAGCGGCCTCTCCCAGGCCCTCGGTCACCGAGTATTCTCTCCAGTAACTCAGCTCCTGCTCCCCTGCCTCTCAAGCCCTAGGTCCTTCCAGGGCCGCGTGTGCTCCACAGCTAGTGTGACGTGGTGGGGACACCCGGCTGCACAGGGCAGGAGAGGCAGATGCCTGCGTGATGAGGTGCTCGAGACCAGGTCTAGGTAGACACATCTCAACGGCCCGAGGGCCTGAGAAGCAGGCCCAGCAGCGTCTGTGCAGGTGCTAACTGGAAGCCAGTTCCTTTGGGGTGCTATGGACGCTGAGCTGGTTTGAGGAAGCTCTTGAAGCTCTGGCTGCAGAGCAGACTTGGCACTGGGCATGGCCAGGGCAGAACCCTGAGCTAGAACAAGGCTTCTCCCCACCTGTCACACTTCTGTTACCCCATCAGCCTTAGGGGAACCTGGGACTGCTTCTCTTTTCACCCGTGTCCTTATAGTAGGATCGTAACTCTGTCGATAGGAAAGCAACTCCTTTCTAGTAAAATATGAGCCATTTTCAAATATATTACAGAAGAAATTAATCAGCAGCCACTCCTAATCTTGTCTGCCAAAAAAATCACTGATCTTTATTTTCTCTATAGCTTAACAGCTACCCAATTCCCTTTCCTAAGAGACCTGTCAGAATGCCAAGCCTAGAAAAGATTTTCAAATTGATCTGCTCATTGGCAGCTTTAGAAGTGAAGGTAGCTGTTAAAATTGGAGACATAAAAGAGGAGCATCAAGTCTTTTCTTTCAAAAATACTAGTAAAATTTATAAGTTTTTTTTGTTTTAAATCACAACCCTGGGAAAGACAAAAAGAGCCAACTTCCCAAACATCAGGCATCTGGCAGCAGGCAAGATGGCCTTGGAGAACAAAGGACCAGCAGCTTTCCCTGGGCCTACGCACAGTGCGGCTGGAGCTGAGATCTGGCCCTGCAGGCAGGACAGCTTCGGACGGTGCCTGCTATGCACAGGCCAGCCACTCCTGCGGCCTTGGCTAAAGACGCATGGTTTCCCCCACGGCGCTGGCACTGGCCGCCCAGCACAGCAGAGGGCTTGCTGAGGTGGAGGAGCACAGCGAGGCCAAAGACACCCCGAAGGCCCCACATTTTCTTCATCTTAAAGGTTAGTTTTTGCTGCTTTTCGTTTCAACTACAAAAGTAATGCAGGTTTACTGCAAATGTTTCAAAGAGCAGAGGGAATGAAGGAAAGGCATTTTGTGAACTCTTACCTGAAGCCTGACTAAAGCTAAAGCCCGAAGGTGCTGCCGTGGAGGTAGTGGCTGAGGCGCTTCCAAACACGGAGCCACCCTGCCCGAAGCCGGGGCTCTGGCCGAAGGCAGGAGGGTTGCTCTGGCCAAACAGCAACCCTCCGGTGCTGGCAGAAGACTGTCCAAAAGAGAAGGAGCCAGGGCTGCTGGTGCTTGATGAGGCCCCAAAGACGCTGCCGCTGGTGGATGCGGGGGTGGACGTAGCAGACTGGCCAAAGGCAGGCACAGAGCTAAACCCAGGCTGGCTGAAGGAGAAGCCACTAGCGGGGCTGCTGGTGGCCTGGCCAAAGGCCGGGGCCTGCCCGAACGCTGTCTGGCCGAAGATTGCCGGGCCTGAGGCACCAAAGGCTGGGCCGCCGAACCCAGAGCTGCTGACTTGTGGTGCTGCGGTGGCCGTGCTGGTCGTGCTGCCTGTCTGCTGCCCAAACAGACTGGGTGCTGTGCTGGCTGCCACCTGTCCAAACACGGGGGTGCCCGAGGGGGCTGTGGCTGTGCTGCTGCTGAGCTGGCTGAACGCTGAGCTGGCGCTGGCGGCAGGTGGCTGAGGGAAGATGGAGGAGCCGGAGGTGACAGTCCCAAACACGGCTGCCTCTGCACTGGAGCCTGGAGTGCTGCTGGAAGCAGGGACTGAGGTCACAGTGGTGCCCAGTGAGTCCACGGCCGCGGCGCCCATGCCTGGGGCTGTGGCAGCAGCCTGGCCGGGTGCCGGGAAGCTGGGAGCAGGAGGCGCAGCCTCTTCCTTGACGTCAGGGCCCCCGGGGGCTGTGGGAGCAGCCTCTGCAGGAGGCCCTGGGAGACTGGCACTTAGGGCTGCTGGGCTGGGACTGCTGGCTGCGGGCTGTGGAAGAGCAGGCTCCTTCCTCACGGGCTCGGAGGCCTGCAGGGTAGCCTGGGGGGTGGCTTGAGGCTGCACGGGGAGTGTGACTGTGGAGGCCAAGCCCTCGCTGCTCCCTGGCTTCTCAGGTGAGGCTGGTGACGAGGCCTCCTCTGTGCTCTTTCCAGAGGCTGCAGGCGGGGAGGGGGCAGGTGCTGAGCTCAGGAGGCCACCAAAGGACAAGGTGGGAAATGATGCCGGGAGAGGAGCGGCTGATGTCGCCGCTGGAGGGGTGGGTGACAGTGCAGTGTCACTGGTCTGCGCGTTTCCAAATGAAAAGACAGTCTTGCTGCCACTTAGTGATGCCCCTCCAAAACCAACAGCACCGGAGGATCCCGCGCTGGCGAGCGGCAGACTGCCAAAGACCCCCGCTGAGGAACTGGCCGTGCCTGTGCTGGTGGTGGCCAGTGGTACTGCAGGGTTGGTGGTCCCAGCAGAGGTGGCCGGGGACTCGGCAGGCTTCCCAAGCACTGGAGAGCTACTGAAGTTGAACCCGGAGGCCATGCTCGAAGTCTTGGTCGGATGCGCCCCCACCAGGCTCGGGGAGGGGGACTTACTGGGTGGCTTCACAGAGTCCTCCACTGGGCCCACACGCAGGCCTGAGAAGCTTCCTAGAGTCTCTCCTGCCAACGAGCTTGGGAACAAAAGCTCTCCCAGCTTGCTTGGAGGGGCTTCCGGCTTGCTAGCCACAGTGGGCAGCGTGACCCCAGAAGGAGCCCCGGGCCTGCTGCTGGAGGCCGGGGGCTCTCCTGGAGAGGTGGCAGTAGTTCCTCCGGGAGTGCTGGGGGACGGAGCGAGTCCTGAAGGAGTAGAGCTTTCAGGGACCAGCTCAGAAAAGGGTTTGTTGCCCCCACTGAAGGAGAGTGCATCAAGCTGATTTGAGTCTTTGGTGGGGGATGCTGCCCCTAGCAAGAGAAAGAAATCAGGAAGTCAGCTGGATTTAGTAAATCCATGGGCTGTGTCTCACACCTTCAACCCAGAGCCTCTGGATCTCCCAGGGCTCGATTGCAAAGGGAAGTTCTTTTATTTTTTTAAGGGCACAAAGTGTAAATCCCAGATAATCATTATTTTATGTACTTACTAGGGTTCTACTAACTAAGCTATTTTATCACAGATTTTGTCTTGAGTTGTTTCTGGTTTTGGACTGCTGTCTATTAAAGTGTCAATTAAAATGTTTACATACAATGACTATTTTCTTTTCCTTATTTTTCCTGGTAAGTACTGGAAAGTGCTCCAACTCTCAGTCCTTTTTATTTTTTTATATTAAAACAGGGTCTTCAAAGTTGCCAGGCTGGCTTTGAACTTGTGATCCTCCTACCTCAGCCTCCTGAGTATTAGGATTATAGATGTGCGCCACCACACCCAGATCCCTATGCTTTTTTAAATTTTAAAGAATTAAAAAAAAAAAAAGATACACAATTTCAAAACAAGGTGATAAGAAATTAACAATGGTTGTTATATTGCATATTGTTATCTTCAAAGTAGTAGTTCAGATTGCCAGATATAAGCATACAAAATTGATCAAACAATTAGGCATTAACTGTTCCTTTCAATAAACCAATAGAAATTAGTAGTACATTTATCTTAGCTATCTTGTACGTATGCATGTGTGTATATATGTATTTTCCCCCTTCCTTCTTTTCTCCTTTCCTTCATCCCAGTTGTTCTTTCCTTTTGAGCAGTTTCTTTCCCTTTAACAGTATTTACTGTGCCTTTCAAATCTTACATTAGGGAGTCAATATGTTGTTTACACATTGGGTCTGATTGATTTCACTTATGAGTATGTTCTCTAGTTGCATCCTTTTACCTATACAAGCCTCCAGTTTATCCCTGTGTGTTTTAACAATGCCTTTGTTCCTCTCCAATCTCTTTATATCACGGAATGATTCTCCTTCTAGAAACTGAGAATGGGGGAAAAGGTGGGCCAAGGGTGTTCTGCCACACTAAGCAGGCAAAGGTTCAAAGAAAGTTTAAGAATTTCTGCTCTAGAAATGCATGAGATCACCGATGTTTTAAGGAGCATGCTCAGACCGGGGTTAGAATGCCCGCTATGCTCTTAAGCCCCTGGTCTTCCTCCAGAATTCAAGAAGAGCCGATGCCATCAGGAAATTCTACTACATAAGTGGGCACAGAAAGCCCCTTGGGAATGTCTGTCAGATGAATGTGGTGGTGTGCACCTTGTAGTATCAGCTACAACAGAGGATGAGGCGGGGGACCACTTGAGCACAGCCTGGCCAAGTCCCTGCCTCATAATTTACTAAAAAAAAGAGGGGGGAGCAGGGATATAGCTCAATGGCACAGCGCCTAACTTGTAAGTGCAAGGTCATGAGTTTGAGTCCTGGTAACACCAAAAAACAAAACAAAACAAAACAAAACAACTTCCAAAAAAAAAAAAAAAGTGTCTCTGACCTTTTGGGGCCTAATTTGGCCCTTTGTGGGTTGTTGTGTATGGTACTGGGATTGACCCAGGCCTCACAGGTTGTGGACAAGCATTCTACCACTGGGTCATGTCCTGAGCCCTAAAAGGTTTGCTGAATGAAATAATAAAAATGGTCACTGTGTTATTTGTAACAGGAACACCCTGGAAATAACCAATACAGTAGCTGGAGGGTTAGACAGAGTGTAGGATACCTACAAGACAGAATCATGATGCAATTAAAAATGACATTTATATAAGGTTTTCAATATTGGAAAATTCATACCTGATGGTAAATGAAAAAGACAAAATTCCCAAAAGAAAATGTAACAGAATGGGTGGTGCACATCTATAATCTCAGCACTTAGGAGGCTGAGGCAAGAGGATCACCATGAGCTCAAAGCCAGCCTGGGCTACCTTAGTAAGTTCAAGGCCAGCCTGGACTACCGAGTGTGACTTTGTCTCAACCCCCAGCCCCAGCAATGAGAACCGTAATTACTAGATGAACAAAGTGTGATTCTAACATCTCTGTCTTTTTATATTTCTATATTTTTCTCAAAAGGAACATTATTTTTACAAATAAAAGCTTGCATTTAAAATAAAAATTAAAGATAAAATAAAAATAAAAACACTCCCAAATTAAAATAAAGAAAAATTAGAGGGAAAAAAAGGACAAAAAAAGGAAAAGAAAAATTGTTAAACTGAGAAGAGGAAGACACTTAAGAAATACATATTGTTGCCGGGCATGGTGGCGCA